CAAAGACAGGAGGAATATTAGAGAGATTTATTCAATTATGTGGGCTAAAAAGAGATACAGCGATAAACTCCTCTGGTCAAGGTCTGAGCATCAAAGGTCTAGGCTTGGAGCCAGTGGATTCTTAAGGATTGTTTGAAACAGCACACAACTTGACAGCCTCCAGAGAGGACTGCTAATTTAAAGGGGATCCTTCTCACACAGATGCTTGGGTTGCCTAAAGTGCTCATGTGTGTCAGGGGCTGGTTGGAAGGTGATGATTGGTGAATTTGTAACTAAGGAAGTAAATATGTCTGCCTCCTTCAAGCTTGAGGCTAAGTGTAGCTAATTATCCAGTCCTTCCTTCCTTCCCAGACCCGGCAGTCATTAGAGAGCCATGACTGTCACAAACAAATACAGTCATAATTCTAATAGATTAGTAACAAAAAATGTTAGAGAAATTCTTCCTAAGTTTTTCAAGGAATAGTAAATATATCTATTTTACCCATACAATATACATGTAAAGTGTTACTTGCATATAAACATCAAGCTGGAAAATAATAAATTTCATGTAATTGTACCAAAGGATGTCCAGCTTCTGTACCTATCTTACATAGAAAAATTGTTTACTCAATCTGGATATTTGAGGGCAACTTGACCCAGAATGTTACATCCTCTTTGAAAGATGCAGATTTACTTTTTCATGGATACATATGAGAGTTATGGTGGCTACACCACAACTGTGACAGAAGTGGTGGTTTTCCCCAAAATTTCATCCACTTTATCTCCTGCAACAGAAGCTTACAGCCTCTCTCCAGAGCTCTAACTTCTCAACTCTGACCTTCATATAATTTAGGAGTCTGAGAAACTTGCCATTTGGTAGGTAGTATTAGAAAACAAACAAGCCCATTCAAAAGTGGGCAAAGGATATGAACAGATACTTTACGAAAGAAGACATATATGAGGCCAACAATCATATGAAAAAATGCTCATCGTCACTGGTCATCAGAGAGATGCAAATCAAAACCACATTGAGATACCATCTCACGCCAGTTAGAATGGCGATCATTAAAAAATCTGGAGACAACAGATGCTGGAGAGGATGTGGAGAAAAAGGAACACTTTTACACTGTTGGTGGGAGTGTAAATTAGTTCAACCATTGTGGAAGACGGTGTGGCGATTCCTCAAGGCCTTAGAAATAGAAATTCCATTTGACCCAGCAATCCCATTACTGGGTATATATCCAAAAGACTATAAATCGTTCTACTCTAAGGACACATGTACACGAATGTTCATTGCAGCACTGTTTACAATAGCAAAGACCTGGAATCAACCCAAATGCCCACTGATAATAGACTGGATTGGAAAAATGTGGCACATATACACCATGGAATATTATGCAGCAATCAGAAATGATGAGTTCGTGTCGTTTGTAGGGACATGGATGAATCTGGAAAACATCATCCTCAGCAAACTGACACAAGAACAGAAAATGAAACACCGCATATTCTCACTCATAGGTGGGTGATGAAAAATGAGAACACATGGACACAGAAAGGAGAGTACTAAACACTGGGGTCTATTGGGGGGAAAAGGGGAGGGCCAGTGGGACGGGGAGGTGGGGAGGGATAGCATGGGGTGAAATGCCAAATGCGGGTGAAGGGGAGAAGAAAAGCAAAGCACACTGCCATGTGTGTACCTACGCAACTGTCTTGCATGCTCTGCTCATGTACCCCAAAACCTATAATCCAATAAAAAATTAAAAAAAAAAAAAAAAAAAAGAAAAGATGGCTTTCTAGAATTCAGAATTAGAACTTTTTATTGCATTTTTTCTTATAGGAAAAAATCAAGGAAAATTAAATGAAATGATATTACTAATATATTGATCCAATGTCTTTAGGTGGCTAACTCAGAATCTAAGAATTTATGATATTTTCATCTATGTAAAAAAGAAGGTACAATAAATTTTAAAGGACAAATTTGTTTCAAATATTAAGATTATCTGTGTTGCAATGTATTACAACTTCAAAAGTAATTCATATATCTAAAACACTTTCTCATACAAATTTTCAGTTAATCTTCCAGTGTGTCTGGCAGAGAGCATGTTATTATTATGTCAAATGGTGCCATTGTAACAGAAAGTGTAAATGGCTTGTCTAAGTTTGTTCAGTCAATAAGGAAATGCCTTCCTTTACACAGCTAGTGAGCCTCACTACCTGCCCTTATATTCCCAACTCCTTCCATGCTTATTTATGTGTGTCCAAATTCTTATTATCTTTCATATTCTTAGCTTACATACTTCAGCTTTCATGAAGATAGCTCCAATATCCCCCACTGATGGCTCCTTTTTTTCTTTTTTTTTTACCCTATAATACTTCATCTCTTTTCCTACCATAAGTAAACTGATTTGGAATCAGAATGATTGGCTTCTCTTTGTGAATATACTATCTAAGTGATCCTCACAACTAAACTCACTATAGTAACTACTCGAATGCCAGTTTCCTCACTGATATAATGGAGAAGATATATGTATGTCCATAAAATTACTGGAAGTTTAATTTTAATAAAACAAAAAAGTCTGTGAACTGTAAAGCCCTATACAAAGTTACTTTTTATAGAAATAAATATATAGACTTTCTTTTTTATGTGCAACTTTTATTTCCCCTATTTAAGGTTGAGGGAAGACTCCACATCTAACAAGTATTTGATTCTGCCATAGCATTCAATAATGCTTTGTAACTAGGCATTTGATACAAATAAGTACAATGAACCATCAAATGTATACCATATTTCATTCTGTGAAATGACTTAATGCTATTATTAATTGAAGTACCATTCAAAACATAGAAAGCTCATCACTACCTGCTAAATGAGTAAGGCTAAAATCCAACTTCAATACCTGTCTCCAATCTCACTGCCCATTTCTTTTCCATCACCCTAGCTAACCCACATTTATTCTTTACTCCCTAAAATAAACTCTGTATTTTTGTAGCTCCAAGTTTAGGCCCAAATCATTACCCTCTTTCATGTCCTATATCTACTGAAATAGTGCCCATCCTTATATGCCCAGCTCAAATGGCTTTTCCCCATGAAGTTTCACTTAATCTCATCCCCTGGAAATGAGCACTTTCTACTCTGAAGTCCATACTATTTATTCATCTCTCTCACATATTTTATCATCTGGCCACATATTATGTTTTCTTGTGCATATATTATCTTATCTAGTAATTCTTAATCCATTAAGATCAACATTCACGTTTTAGTTATCTTTATATCCCACCAAACATATAACAGAGTATCATCCACAAAGTAGGTATTCACATAATATCCATCTTTCTCATACTGGATAGAGAAATAACACATACAGCTTAAATTTCCAGCTGCATATTTCTGCCTTGTAAATTACCACCAAACCTTGACAAATCCAAACACTATAAAATGATCGTCTATCACTTAAAGTCATTATTACTTTACATTCCTATCAAGAGAGTATAATTTGGGGAGAAACATATTTTTACCAAGACATAAAAAGGTACATATATAAACTACTTATAATCTGTATTCCTCCATAAGTCAAGTGCAGCATATTCTTATTAATTATAGTTTTATAAGTAAATGATTTTTTTATTTGAAAAGTTAAATTACTTGATACTGCTTTTGTTTTAAAAAAGTTACTTTAGAAAACAACCAAAAGTTGACATATTTTAAATCTGCATCATTTTTCATCATACATATCCACATTAACATAAATTACTAATGATCACCATTACTGTTATTTTCATAACATAGATTTCATTTATAACCAATTATACAAGCTTCACCTCTCAGGGATATTTAAATCACATAATCCTTCATTGCCTGCTGTCAGTTACTTCCTGGGCTGTTTGCAAATGTAATGCAAAGGCAGCCCACTAACAGTTGTCCTCCAGACAGGCTAAATGATTTCTCTGCCTTCTCATTAAGCAGAGGATATTAAATCTCTTAAAAAATGAATCTCTCATATTCTCTTAAAGCCTACACCTCTTCTCTATTTATATGCTTATCACTACCTACTAAATGTGGAAAGCCAAAGTCTGACTCTAACCTATCTCCAACCTCACTGCCCATTTCTTTATACCATCTTCACTGTTCTATTCATTAATGCCAGAGAATTTCTGAGTTTTTAAAAATGTTTTGTGCTTTCTTATCCCTGAATCTCTACCTATTAAAATGTTACGTTATTTCAGGATTTCTCATGCTGAACTAATATTAGGAAAGTCACTTGAGTTGCTAAGAACTACTCTTCTATCCTCAATCTGTGTAAACAAACTTGTATTCAACTATTTTACAATTAACCCTTTTATAATTTGATGAGTAAGAAAGTATTATCCAGCTATACACCTTGGAAACATAAGGCTGCCCAGATTCAAGCCCAAGAGATATAAATTGTAATCTGAGAAGACACTCATACATTCTGAACCTGCTCTAACAACTTGTACATTTTGTGAAATGACTTAATGCTATTATTAAGGACTCTCGACATGCCCTCATTTGATACATCAGAATTACTGGCAGAAAAAGGGGATATGCAGATTTAAAAATTATATTCAATTTTAAGTTCAAATTGTATTCAGAATTTGAAAACATCATCTACTTTTTTTCTGAAACAAATATAAAACCCAGTTATGAGTACCAAAATTTTAATAGGTAGGAGCACTCATGTAAAAGTTAAAGCAATATCATTGTACGCTAAATAATAGTGTAGGTCTTACGCATGGAGTGAAATGAGTAGTTGCTCAGCATCTTTCAATCAATTTATATTTGTCTTACATGCCAAATTTTCAGAAATCAGAGCAATATTTGAGGCTTCTAATCAGAGAAATGTTAAAAAAAATTACAACTGGCAGAGAACAAAAAAAAAGGAAGGGGGAGAATCCAGAGAAAGACAATAACATCAAGTCATATAAGTGATTAGTTAAGCACCATTTGTGTTAAGATGATGATATGGCTGAAGAGCATGGACTCAGTGAATAAATGCACTTACCTCCGTTAAATGAGGATTGGGATTAAATCCACAGAGGCTACAGACAGTGGTTTGACACTCAGTGCATTTGTTAAAATTGGCTTTTTCTGGAACATGCAACAGAAGTTCAGTGGTATTGCAAAGAGGACAGATGGTTTTAGGGAGGCCTTGTGATGGAGGCTGTTTTGCAGATGGAGACATTGTTGGTGGCTGCAGGGGTTTTGCAGATCCTGTTTGGCTTACTGGTTTTGTAGACTGTTGAGCTGAGGGCTTTGTTGGGCTCGGTTGTTGAGCTAAGGGTTTTGCTGACCCAGGCTGTTGAGATGGGAGTTTTGCTGAGCCAGGTTGTTGAGGTGGGGGCTTTGCTGAGCCAGGCTGTTGAGGTGGGGGCTTTGCTGGGCCAGGAAGTTGTGAAGGAAGCTTTGTTGGGCCAGTCTGCTGGGCAGAAGGCTTTGCTGGTCCTGCCTGTTGAGCTGGAGTCTTTCCTGGCCCAGGCTGCTGTACTGGAGTCTTTGTAGGCCCAGTTGCCTTGGCTGGAGACTGTAGCCCAGGTTGTTGAGCTACAGGTTTTGGTGTCCCCACCTGCTGGGTTGGAGGCTTTCCTGGCCCTGGCTGCTGAGCTGGAGTCTTTCCAACTCCAGGAGGCTGAGCTAGAGCCTTTGGCCCAGGTTGCTCCAATGAAGGCTTCTCTGACCCAGTTTGCTGAGCTGGAGGCTTAGCAGGACCAAGAGACTGAGCTGGAGGCTTTGTTGTTCCTGGTGGCTGCACTGGGGGTTTCACCGTCCCTGGTTGTTGAGCCAGTGGCTTTGTTAGCCCTGGGGGCTGAGCTGGAGGCTTTGCAGGCCCAGGCTGTGATTTTTCAGGTCCAGGCTGCTGTGCTGGAGGTTTTTTAGGACTTGGTTGCTGAATAGGTGGTTTGGATGGGCTTTGTAGTGAGGGTTTAACTGATTCTCCCCTTACTATGTCTGCCTGTTTAGTCTGAGGCCTGGATGCATCTCGTTGAAGTGACAATTTTGCCTGGTCTGTCTGAGGAGTCTGAGCAGGACCCTGAATTGGCTTTCCTGTACCTTGAGGTTGTGATTTAATTTTTTCTGGTTGTTGAGAAGATACCAATTTGGGAGGGCCATCCTGCTGAAGTGGATCCTTACCAGCTCCTTGCTGCTTAGGAACTGGCTTGGGTGACTGCTGTTGTGAAGGAGGTTTTGTGATTCCCTCAGGTTTTCCTTGCTCCTTCTGAACTACTTTTTGTTTCTTGGTGATTTCTTCCTGGGATGCCTCAGAGTCTGATATCAAATCAAAAGGGTTGAATTTATTTACAACAGAGGAGACAGCACTTAAAGGGTTAACCTCTGAGAGGAAGCCAGGCATCATACTAGACTTGTGCTCTTCCCTAAAATCAGTTCTGGACTTTGATTCTTTCAAGCTAATGGTGGAAGGACTCCTCCCAGGCAATTTCTGCTCTGACCTGAAAGTATCTGTAGTTCTACTTTTACTGAGACCAGGCTGAGCTGGACGCCCAGGGTCTGGGGGTCTTCCTGATTGCTTTGGAGGATGACTACTATCCAACTCTTGTTTCCTAGAAGAGTAAAAATAAAGAAGTGAAAATAATGGTAATTGTTTCAAATCAAAGTAATATGAAAACATTGCTTTCTTATAGCCTTAAAATTATGAATGTACAAATATAACTAGAACCCATTTTGTAACATCTTTTAAGTGATGATAAAACTTTTAATGCTTTTGTTTCTTTCCTTAAATGGGTAGGTATTTTCAACAAGGAGGTGAAGATTAAAAAAACAATAATTGCTGTTGTGACTGATAAAATTTAAATATATTGGCCGGGCATGGTGGCTCACGCCTGTAATCCCAGCACTTTGGGAGGCTGAGGCGGGTGGATCACAAGGTCAGGAGATCAAGACCATCCTGGTCATCATGGTGAAACCTTGTCTCTATTAAAAAAATACAAAAAATTAGCTGGGCTTGGTGGCGCGTGCCTGTAATCCCAGCTACTCAGGAGGCTGAGGCAGGAGAATTGCCTGAGCCCAGGAGGCGGAGGCTGAGGTGAGCCGAGATCGCGCCATTGCACTTCAGCCTGGGTAACAAGCGAAACTCCATCTCAAAAAAAAAATTAAAATATATTATTAGAAAACAAAATAAAAGCAATTTACCTTTGCACTTAATATACTGGCCTTAAAACCTTACTAAATATAGGTTTAAATTAAAACCTCAATAAATCAATGCAATGTCATATTATAGGACATACATGTTCACAAAGTGTATTTATTTTTCTTTTATCAAAAGTTATAGTAAAAGAAAGTCTTCCAAATACTAGCAGCATTGAGAAGTAAAAATACTCATTTTTAAGTGTAAGAGTCTGCTGAGACTTTTTAGAAACTTCATTTTGAGAATTTACATGACCTAAATAAGGAATGCAATGTGAAATATGGGGAGTTTCTGATAGTGGAGTTTACATGATGCTTTCCCAGGAATGCTAAAAAGTTTATAATTTATTTGATTTTACTTGGGCTTCTAGGGATCAAATTCACTGGCCAGGAGAGACTGGAACACAGATAGATGTAGGTACCTAAAATCCTGAGAGTCCCAGAGAGTGACTGGGGATCATCCCCATGGCTTCATCTAGAAAGGCACTATTCATCAAATATAACTTATGCAACTTTACAAAATAAGAATTTCTACATTCATTATTTAGACATTCCTGAGGAACAACCCCATCATTATTCTAGAAGATCACTGTTATCTTTTTTTAAAAGTAGGTATTTTTAACATGAAATTTTTATGGGACGTAATTAATAATACATGCTTAAATCATCTTGAGATATATCTTGGTATCTAAATATCTCTTTACTCAGTGTTTGCTACATCATCTCTTAATGCCATTGATTGAATATTAGTAATCTATCATTGACATTGAGAGTAAATGTAGCAAGTGGTTAATTTTCAAGATTTAATTCACAAATATACAAATATACAAGATGTATTTTTTAAAACAGCCTTGGACACATGATCTATTTTAAATGACTATGGTTAAATAATTTAAATAGGTGTTTCTTATTTTTTATATAACTACTGTTTTAGCCAAAAGTCTTATTAAATATAAGAACTTTTTAAATAATTCATACTTTATTCATAAAGTTACCACTAAAAGGATATTCTGAACTAGAATTATGGAGAAAATCAGATTATAAATATTTTGCTTGGTATATGTAGCTTTTTAAATTTTGAAAAATGTATTTTTATTAAAGAAAACAATAATAAAGTAACTTAGTAGCACCTAAAATATGAGAACAATAAAGTTTTATAGGTTCTAATTTGGTTTATCAAAATTTACTTGCTAATTTTGCTAATGAGACAGACTAGAGATACTTTATTTCATATTCAATACTTCTTATGAATTAACTTTTTCCAAATTTCCTGACATAGAAATTTCCTGACATAGAAATTTGAGTACAGGTCAAGACGAACAGATAGCAGGAAGAAGCAGAGAAGCATTATTTCTAGGTAGCAAAGACTTAGAAGGAAAGAAAATAATCTATAAATGGCAATGTATGCATCAGGTGATTTTCTGGTAAAAGACAGGTAGATTATGAAATTTTGCAATTTCCTTTAAGGAAAAGGTTACAAAAATATATACATATTCTACCATGTCTCTGAAGTATTACCCTAGTTAATTCCAACAGTTCCAAGCTAGCTCTTAAAATACACTGCTACATATTTCCATTTAGAGAAAATCATTTTGAATATTTCTTTATAGGTACACTATCCAGACCCTGACATATAGAAACTTTTAAAATAACCTGATGTTATTCTATAAATTTTCTAAATTTACTTAATATAATGTAGCATTCCTTTGAAGAGCACATGCTTAGGGCTGATTATAGATATGACAATCTGATAAGTAATTATTAGGCATTTTGTTGAAATAACTTCCCTGTACAGAGTCCTATAAATTAATTTTAAGCAGAGTACAAAAAGTATCTATCCTTAATTATACTAAATTTTTCTCTTGAAACTACTAAACTTATTTTAATCATAGTTTTAATATTTCACTTAATCCATATTTGCAAAACAAAAAATAAACTTCATGAATGCCAGATATTTGTCATAATCAAGAATAGCAGAATTGAAAGCAACCTGCTTGCACCAGGAATTATAATTGCATGTACTTCCTACAAATATAAGTTGTACTTTCCTATAGAATTCCCATCAGAAAACAGGCATTCAACTCTAAAGACTGTCCTATAACTTAAACTTAGTTTTAGTTGCTACAATTATGTAAATAAAACTAAAGCACAGAGATTTTGGATGAGAAATGAAAAGAAAATCAAGAGAAAAACTGTCAATACCAAACAAAGGTGCTGTTGTCTTTTGGTGAAATTTTGTTTGGCATAACAGTTCTACTGTTAAAAATAAAAGTGATTAAAATTCAATCTCTGCCTTTTAGACTAGACTGTGAACTCCTAGAGAGAGAAGATACATTTCACTTATCTTTGCATCACTAGAACCAAGCCTGGCAACTAGAGCATTAATATTTGATGAATTAATGAATAAGTGGATGATTAACAATGAGTGAATCGGGAATAAATATATCATGTATTTGTTTTAACTTGACATTATCTTATAAATTTTCTAAATTTACTTAATATAATGTGGCATTCCCTTAAAGAGCACATGCTTAGAGCTGATTATTTTACTTTAATGTTTCTTGAATTGCTTTCACTTAAAATTCTTCTACAGGCCTTCTGAATATAAATAGATAAATTCTATATTCTTTTTACAACCTGGATTTGGCCTGCACATTTAGGAAGAAATACAGTTGTGGAGCTATCTGCCCAGTAGGGGAGGCTGAAAGAAGTAAAGAAAATAATCAGTTCAGTGAGAGTTCTTATCAAATATTCTACTAATCAGAGAAGTTTTTCAATAAAGCCCTTCTCAGATATTTGTAACTATAAATAGAATGAGTAGAAAAAAATAATGAAATTGCACTTCTCTGGGTCTACAATGAATAAAAAAATACATGAACATATCATTTGTAACCTATCTTGTACTTCTAGCTTGTAACTACATATATTTAACACTACCTCCCTTTTCACTTTGCTGTTGTAATCCCTAGACTGGGATTTTTCTTTCAAATGTTAGCAGGAAGAAAATGTTTCCCCTAAGATGAGGAAAACATATGCAAATATAGGAATGTAAAAGCATCTGGGATAACAAAATCTTTTATAAATGGAACACAATGAGCAATGACACTTGACAGTGCTGAGTCACATAAAATTTTATACTATTAGAAATATAAGCAATCTTGGGACTATTAATGTTTACATATTATATAGAGAGATATATATAGATCTATGCATTTATCCTCTAAGTCCCAGAACATAGGGACTAAGGGAATCTAAGTGACTAATTCAAGGTCATAAAACTAGTTAGTCACAGAAATCTGGTATCCTCACTCCTGGTTTGTGGGAAGAAGAGGTGATTTACACTCCACTGAACTGATTTGTCAACATGTAAAAGAACATTGACATATCAAAATAATTCAGAACTATGTACAATTCAACAGAAAACTTGTCTGTAGCCATCAGTGACAGTTTCATTCATTGCTGATATTAATATTACCACTCTTTATACTTGTAGGGTTCTTGTAAATTAAATCTCAAACAAAAACATCCATGTCAACTTTTAATTGATCCTCAATGGACTCCTTAAGACAGGTAAGACAGGTATTATTAGTCTTATTTAAAGGCAAGAAACATGAGACACATTGATTGAGAAATATTTGTAATTTGCTACGAGTTGGTTAAAATCAATAGGATAAAAACCCAGGTTTTCTACCTTTATTATAAAAATTCTATGTTCAATTTACACCATGTTAAAACTTCAAATAATTTATATATGTCTTCCTATATTAATTGAATTTACATAACTCTATAACTTTAAAGTCTAAATAATAAACCAAGTATTTCTTTAGTTATCCTATACAGGGAAAAATAACTTTACAAAAGTTATGTACCTTTTATAGAAATCTTCAGTAAAATATAAGCAAGTTGCAAAAGTCAGAAGTTATAACTTATTTTTTAGTATTCTGATGAAGTTTTCACCAATAACAGTTTAGGCCACATACTGCCTATTGATAAGATTTCCACCAAAACAAAATTATCAATAGAGAGCTTAAAAGTGTACTATCCTATACAAATATTGCATAAAGCAACAGTTTTAAAGGTGGAAATAATGTTTCTCAACCACTCTTTAAACAAAAGAAAAGAGAGAAATCTAGAAATCAAAGATCTCACTGGAATTGGTATTGGTAACAAGCATGAAAGACCTGTTGCTTGTGCCTCTTAGAAAAAATTATAAAAGGTCTGGTATACAGCTCTAAAACACTAATAAAAATATTATACCATGTTATCATCCTATGAAAATCTAATTAATGAACACTAAATTTTTTTCCTAGTCAAGTTTTCATCAGGTAGAGGAAAACAGTACATATCATAAACTGGATAAGAGAATAAGGAAGACTTTTTAACAAAAGAATAGCCCAATAGGTTACTAGTTTAAAAACACAGAAAAACATATTTAACATAAAGGAGCTAATTATCATTAGTACTAGTGGTTTCCTTTCAAAATAAATAGGGTTTTTTTCCTGATAGATTTTAAGCATTTAAGACTTTATGTGAAATTATTGTCACTATCCAGAAATCATTTTACATTTCTCCTATATTATAATTGCGATTACGTGATAGTGATTTGTTAATTTTATTTCATTTTATAAGGTAGAGGACAGAAATCTACACCTATATCCAGATCTTTCGTGCTTACAATATCTCAAAAGAAAACTGTAGGTTTTCCTTCAGTTGTCATAAAAAGAGGACTGGTTTCAGGACCACGGACAGAGAACTATTCTCTACGACAGAGTGCAAAGTTAAAGGGTTTGTTTACAATAATAAAGGCAAGGCAGTCACAATGATTATACCCTGTTAGTACTCTAATTGGAAAACAACTAATCTATTCAGATGAAGGAAAATGGAGAGTTACAGACAGAAATGAATACGTTCATATTACTGATTAGCTCTTATACTTGCCTATGCAAGTTGTCATTTATTTAGTTTTTAAAAGTATGTATTAAAAATTATTTTTTCAGGTAATACAATTCACATGTTCTCCCCTAAACTGAAGGCTACTTTTGCATAAAAAAAAGAGCAGCGGCTTAAAAACAGCATATGCTAACTCAGAAATATATGAACAACACCTGCTCTGCTGTGACCAAACCATCTGTTTAATGCCACACATATTTTAGGGTTCCTCACAGAATACAAAAGGTATATTAATTCTATTCCTTCTACCTAAACAGCTTCTGCTTTCCTCTGGGGGTGGGGTGGCGAGAGAGGACAAATCACCTACAAGGGGATTCAAGTATTGTTACAGAAATATTTAGACATCATTCACAGAGAAAAAGACCCCGCAATGCCCAAGAAGGTTTAAACAGAGACAGGTAAACACCCAGCTCTACCCATTTCCCAACCCGTCCGTGTTGTATTAATGGAAGACTTCCAGATTAGTAAAACACTGGAGGGCGTCTCTCCACGCCATCCTAGAGGGAAAGGGCTCCAAAAGGCCAAAATATCACAACCTAAAATCACAGTTCCTAGAATGTAACCCTTGACTATCCCACCAGAAACTCTACAATGCATCATTTTTATTCCGCCCATCAAAAGGCTTAGAATCTCTTTACGACCACCCCATTGGGGTGAATAAAACGAACGGAGGCGACATATATGTACCGCCGTGCTGGCACATACGGGCTGGCACATATGTGCACGGGAAGCTGTACATATATGCCCGGACATATACATCATGCTGTGCGTGCCTGTGCATGGAAGGCGACTCCGCAGCGGCCGGGGGGACGCTTTCCTTGGGCAGCCCCTGCGCCCTTGACATGACAGCAGCGATCTGTCTCCTCTCCTCTTCGCTCAGCTGGCTCAAATCCGCCTCCATGCCGGCCGGGATCACGGTGTGCGAGGGGCTCCCCGCCCCGCTAGCCCCTCCTCCGGCCGCTGCGGCCGCCGCCAGCCCTTCGGGGAGCCCTTCCCCTTCCAAGCTCGCCTCGTTGCCCATGGCTCTGGGAGACTCGGGGCCGCCGCTCTCCCTCCTCGCGCCGCGTCCCAGTCGGGAAGCCCGCGGCCAGCGGAGGAGTCAGAGCCAGGGTCCGCCTCGGGGCGTGCAGGCGGCCGCGTCTCTGGGCTCCGGACCCGGCACTGCCGTCCGGAACGACAAGCGGAGGGCTAGTCCCGCTAGCAGGTGACGCCCGCTGCCGGTGCCTCCTCCATGTTTGACAGAGCCAGGCAACCTTTGCAGAAGACGCCTCCCGGACGCCGCCTCGGCGCCCCGAGCCGGGGAGAAGCAGATCTGAGCAGTGCCAGCCGGGCGCCGTCCGCCCTCCTCCCCACAGCGCACCGCCTCCTCGCCGGCGCCCTCACAGTGCGCAGGCGCCTCTCGGAACAGGTGATGCCCGAGGTCCCCGCCCACCCCGTGCTGCGTCGCTCCGGATCCTTCCTCGGTCTCAGCACAGATTTAAAGGAACCCAGTGAACGCCCGGCTAAAAACCGGGAAGAAACAGTCGGCGTTTCTTTCAGGCATGTTTCAGGATACCTCAACTTGAGTTTTAGCTTACTAGACTCCTAGATTCAACGGGGGCGGGAGAAGCAGTAGAGGAAATGTCTGTTTTCAGCTTTGGCTTTTGGGATTTGTAGTTTCGTTTCTTTTCTTTAAAGGAAGGTTTTACAACATTCTAGGAAAGGATTCAAGTAACTGAAAATTAGCAGGAGAGACCCTGATACCTTTGAGGCACATTTCCCAAGGGAGCTAAGAATGTCCCTTTTCATTAAGAACTTTCACAGAACGATTAGATTTTTTTAGTTAAATTATTTGAAAAATGATACAATATTAGTAAGCAGCTAGTGCTTATAACCTGTGAAGTTCTCTAAAGGGAGGGACTACACAATAATAAAGGATTATGGGAAGTTGTGGACCTGGGGTTCTGCCGTAATATCCAGATTGTAAAATACTAAAATCTTTTAATATGACATTTCGGAAACGTGATTTTATTCCCCTGACCCCTTTTTAACAAATGTGCACAGAAGAACCCCCAAAAGTTACTTTAATGTGTGGCTGTTAAGTCACATCCCCACTGCTTCACTTGACTAACCTTAAAAAAAAAATAAAAAATTAAAAAAAAGTTACGGTCACATCATTGGTTAGGAGCACGTTATCATAATAACCACCTACTCAGACCCACTCCCCACTATCGCTCCTACACTTTTCTTGCTATTACATTTCTTAGAAGGGACTGTTCAGCACTGAATCTGAAGCCTCAATGTTGTTACCTACCTTTCCTTAGAATGTGGACGTAGTGCCTCAACTGTTGAGGTTAGCTAACAACCGAGAATGAATAAATCAAACAGAAATGAATTAAGTTGCTCAGAAAGTCCAAGTTTTTGCTATAATCATTACATAGTTAGATCTTGTACCTTCCAAAGTTAATTTGTAGATTTATGGTATAAAAGCACCAATGATTATAACTGATTTTTAAAAGATAACAAAAATGATGCAGTCTCTTATGGTAGGAAAACAAATGCCAACCAACATCGTTTGTAACAAATGCCTCCTTATATTTAAGAAGCAGAAAAAAATGGCGTAGTGTATATTAATACAATAACTGCTTTTGTGTGTGATGAGTGATACTATTCAAGCTCTTCTCATTCTTTGTATGTTTAAAAGTCCATGCATTTTAGTGTATGTATAAATGTCTGTATTTCTGCTTGTATAACTCTAGACAATATGGCTTGTAATTTTGATATGGGTGCATATGAAGATCTTTTATTCATATTCCTTCTCTAATATAAGGTGAGAGAGGAGTGTGTTCATTGAGTGGAGCAAGAACTACAGTGGCTTAAGGTCCAACATTTCATATTTTTATGGCTGAGTTGCTTCTGAATTGCTGCTCTCAGCCATTTTTGTTAGCTCTACTTTAAAGTGGGATTTACAGCTAGAGTGGAGGAAATTCAAGCAAGATTACAACTGATTATAAACTGGCTTCTCAATTTTGAGAGAAAAATCATGAGAAATGTTTTAGGGAAGAGTTTGATAAATTTAGTTTTGAATTCTTAACATCTGAAACATCAGGCAATTTTTTTCTTTTGTACTCAGCCTAAAGTGTATCTGTCATTTAAATAAAAGAAAAAGTCACTTGTATTTAGAATGTGTTCCTATAGACATATAATGTTTAAAATATTAAGAACTAAAATTAGTTTTGTCACTTCACAATACTTGTAAGTTGAAAAATATTAATGTCATGAAGTTATAACCTAGATGATCAGCATTATTCAATTATTTTATAAATGGACTTCATGATTTAGAACCTACTCTTGGAGAATGGGCACATGTGTGCATGTCTTATTCTTCAGAATTTTTCTGTTGATGTCTAGTTTTAAATCCTAGCTCTACATTCTTATAGCTATTTAGATTGGTAAGTCATTGACTTTTCAGATGTTGAGGTTCCTCAACTGCAAGAACAGAGAGAATACTACTACTAACGTTACTACCTGTCCGGTTTGTTGTGACAATTAAATTAGAAAAAGATGTGAATGCACTCATAAACTAGAACTATATCATCAGAATGTGGTAGATGGTTACAATACTGGTCTCCAATGAATCAAACCTCCCATGCATGTCCACTGCCTTTTTTTTTTTTTTTTTTTTTTTTGAGACGGAGTTTTACTCTTGTTACCCAGGCTGGAGTGCAATGGCGTGATCTCGGCTCACCGCAACCTCCACCTCCTGGGTTCAGGCAATTCTCCTGCCTCAGCCTCCTGAGTAGCTGGGATTATAGGGACGCGCCACCATGCCCAGCTAATTTTTTTGTATTTTGAGTAGAGACGGGGTTTCAACATGTTGACCAGAATGGTCTCGATCTCTTGACCTCGTGATCCACCCGCCTCGGCCTCCCAAAGTGCTAGGATTACAGGCTTGAGCCACTGCGCCCGGCTGTCCACTGCCTTTTACAATGGTACTGCCACACTTCCCACCCTTGACTAGAACTAAACCCTTGCCTTAATTTTGCCAAAAGAATGTGTTGGGAATATCATGTGATTTCCCAGGCTAGCCTTCCAGTTTAGCCCTCTTTGTATCCTGAGACTTCCATTCTCTGAAGAAGCCAAGGAGGTCAGAAAGAGAAGCCTAGCTACCCCAGCTTCATCCATCTCAGCTGAGGCTTTAGTGAGGCCCTTTAGCACAACCTGTGCCAGCTGAGCTACCTACTGGCTACAATCACATCAATGAACTCAGTAAGACCAGCAGAAGAACTGCACAATCAACCAAAAGAATCGGATAAGTAATAATTATAATGATAATAAGTTGCTATTTTAAGTCATTAAGTTTTCTTGGAGGGGGGGTTACTTAAGCTATGTAACAGACATTCCAGTTTTTCCATATTATGATCATGCATAATCCTTCAAAGTTTTCTTTTCACTCTTTCAGTGACTTTTCTCATTTCCTATCCAGCTGCACTTGAGTTGTTAGTTCAAAATTTCCAAATACCACCCTTCTAACTATAAAGTGGAAAAGAACACAATTATCTTGAATACTTACATGCTGTTTCATGAAATGCTCAAACAAGAAAATATATGTGAAGACGATCTTTAAATTGTGTAACATTACTCAGATGTCAAGTTATATAAGACATGGAAGATTTATTCATAAGAATTTTCTGAGGAACACCAATGTATATATTTGAGAAATTGTTTGGAGTCAGGTGACACTCTCAAGGTCCTACTCAAGAGGATTAGAATATAGGTTTACATCCCTGGGTAAAATGCTTGGGGTCAGAAGTTCAAAATTATTTATGGAATTTTACAAGGTTAATATGATATACTGTACATTTTATAATATTACTTTTAATATTTATCCAGGAAAATCTGTTAATAGTCACATTAACCTCTAAAAGAGTTGAGATCAAATCAACTGGAAGACACTCGGTTTTTCTGAGCCTGGTAATGAATTGGAGTTCAGATTTTTTTTTTGTTTTTTGAGACAGAATTTTATTCTTGTTGCCAAGGCTGGAGTGCAAAGGCGCGATCTCAGCTCACTGCAACGTTTACCTCCTGGGTTCAAACAATTCTCCTGCCTAAACCTCCAGAGTAGCTGGGATTACAGGCATGTGCTGCCCCGAGCAGCTAATTTTGTATTTTTAGTAGAGACGGCTTTCTTCATACTGGTCAGGCTGGTCTACAGCTCCCAACCTCAGGTGATACCCCCACTTCTGCCTCCCAAAGTGCTGGGATTACAGGCATGAGCCACCGCACCCAGCCCGGAGTTCAGATATTTTTATAACAGCCTGGGCTTATTTAAGGTTCTGCAGAATAAAGAGAAAACAACTTGAATTGGTAAAGTAGCATGAATTGGAGGACAAAAGTAGAGAAATCTACTTACTTTTGATAGGGGAAATAAATGTTCCCACTGTTAGCTCCATTGGTAATATGGCCTACAGGACTTTGCAGGACCAATGTGTCAGTGAGGCTGCAAGATGTTTTCTGTGGACTTTGCATTAAAACCCTGCCTCATCTCTCTCATGCAGAGACAAGTATGTCTGTATTGCTAAATTGTTTGTACATTGTGATGGTTAATTTTATGTGTCAATATAACTGGGTTATGGAATGTGAGATATTTGGCTGAACATTGTTTTGGGGTGTGTCTGTGAGAATCATTCCAAATGAAATTAGCATTTGAATCTGTGGATTTAGCAGATTGTCCTCCCCAGTGTGAGCGAGCGTCATCCAACCTACAGAGGGTATGAATAGAAGAAAAAGCAGAGGGAGGGAGAATTTATTCCTTTCTGCCTGACTGCTTGAGCTGAACATCAGTCTTCTGCCTTTGGACTTGAATTTACATCATTGACCACCCAACCCTGGGTTCTCAGGCTTTCATACTCAAATTGAATGATATAACCAGCTTTCCTGGATCTCCAGCTTGCAGATGGCTGATCATGACTTCAGCTATCCATAATTATGTAAGCCATTTTCTTATTTTATAACATATGCATGTGTACATATATGTGTGTGTATAAATAATGGAGATAAGAGATAGATCTGTATACATACATATTCAGATCTCTAGACAGATAGATGATAGATAGATAATAGGTAGATATAGGTATATATCTTTCCATCCTATTGGTTCTGTTTCCCTGGAGAATTTTGACTAATAAGACATGCATGGGTTCCTTGAGAAAGGATGGGTGCGAGTTCAAGGCACGAAAAGAGTGAAGAGCTTTATATCTGTGTAAATAAATGTTGCAAATATTTGCAATATAGATATCATGTACATACACAGGAACTGAGAGAAAGCATCTAATGCATATGTTTTAACCATTATCATATGTACTAAAATGTAAGGTTTCCTTTGGTTTTCAGAAAGCCCTATAATTTTCTCATGTGTTAATTTCAA